CGCAGCGCGCGAGTTTCGTCGACGCGCCGCTAGACCATTCAATACTTAGTGCGTAGTGATGGGCCGTAGGACACTATCGATAGTATCATGGAAGGCTTTCGAAAATGTACACAGATGATCCCTATAATATCTTTTATAGACCATGATTGCACTTTTTGTATCTTAAGGTCAAATAAATTAATAAAGGCAAATGACATTTCTTACAACAAAACAATAAATAAACGAATAATTATTTATTTTCATTTAAGTTTAATTACGCAATTTTATAGTCTCCACGGCAGAAATTACGAATACGACTTTTTTGTTACATATTTTCTTAAACTTTATATCTTTAATTTATCCTTTAAATGTGAAAGACTTACTACGTTATATTAATTCCTCAATGAAATTATATTTAAAAAATTATCGATAAAATTCCTTATATCGATGAACGACAACAATTATAACTGGAATCGAAATATTGTTCCCTTCCGCAGACATCGTGTAGCCTATTGGTCCGAGCGTCATGGTTGATACATCTTTTTCCAATTTTAATTTGTTAATCAATTTATTATTTTGTTGTTATTTGATAGAATGTGGAAAATACAAAAATTATAAAACAATTATTTTTCGTGTTCGTAAAAGAATAGTTTTCGTTTTAGGGTGAAAAATTAAATATTTTAATAAAACAAATTAAAAAAAATATACAATATAAGACGTTAAAAATTTTAAATAATGAAAACTTGGTTTATTATCTGATAGATTGTTCTCCAACTGTTGCGTTCTACGTTCAACAAATGCAATAATATTTCGTTGTAATTATTTATAAAAATAAAAAATCAACAAAAATTAAATGGTAAATTAAAAAAAAATACCTACAAAAAGAAAATCACCAAAAAATATAACAAAGAAAAATGTAGGGATTTGAACCCAATCCCTATAGAATGATGGTCCTTTACACAGTGTAACCAACTGTTCAAAAATAATACTCCTAAAACAATTCGAAAACCGACAAAAATTTATCAAATTCAAAATTTAAAATCAGGATTTTTTTATATTATAGGAAAAAGACAAAATAATTATCGGATAAAATAAACCATGGTCAAGAACATCAAATATAACATAATTCATTTGAAAGGAATATGTTAAGAATAAAATCATAACAATATTAAAAAAAAATTATTAGAATACATAAAATATTCATACCAGACACATAGGCCTTGGCCTGACGTCATCCAAAGCAGCACGGCACTGAATTTTTTTTAAATAAGTGTGTAGTTTTTTCGAAAATGTGAATAAAATTTAACTCCTAAAAAATATTCCTATAAAAATGTACCTCCCCATAAAATTCCATTCCATATTTTTTATTCCTAAATTTCGGAAGAAAATTCCTAAGTTGCCATCCCTGCCTTTACACTGTATAGGACTGATAAACTTATCAATGACAAGATAAGATATTTAAATTACGCTTTAGTTGTTAATTCATACAAATAATTAAAAATACGAAATATGTGAATATGTAATTTTTAGTTTCGTGTTTTCGAAAGATCTAATAAAATTATAACCCTCAATAATAAATAAATACGGAACATATTTCTTAACGGTGAGCGGAAGACGAGCGGCATACATCCATCTAGCAAGGCGCCTCAGCGCTCTCTGTTCAACGTGTGGAGTTGGAAGAGAGCCGAAACAACGTTAGAGGTAGTTAGTTAGAGGTAGTTTCATGATTTTTTTCTATCGAGAATATGTTTTGGAAACAATGTTCCCTTAGAAAGTACGATCAAGATTAACATATATTTTTTTTGCTGCTATAAAATGTGTAGATTATGCTAAAAAATCTTTTGAAAAACCTATTTTTACTGCATACAGCGCCTTAAAATCTATATTCATTAGAAATTTTTTATTACTTTCCTATTGATTTAGCTATATTATTATTATAGGTTATTAGCTAATATTAATGCTAGTAGCATAGTACTCGTAACGTACGTAATCTAACCTAACCTATTAACTATTGGGAAAAGGATAGGTTATTATGTGTTTATGAAGATGAGTCATTATTGACAACACTACTTCCGCTACTCGTGATAGTGATACCCCAAAATCCAATTAAGCATTGTCCTGGTATCGGAAAATAATGACGATTCTTTTGTATTTACAGGAAATAATGATTTTTAGAGTGAATAGACTTATTCGTTGAAAAAATTTAACTTTAATATAATTAAGTTTTGTACGTGTTTCAATGATATTATCATGGCGTTTGCGTAGTGCCTACAAATAATCCAAGGTGAAATATATCGCAGTAATAAATGCAATAAAGTTCAGTTTTTAATATTTTTCGTGAAAATCTAGCCTGGCTGCTATTCCTGATGCCGACGTTTTATTTACAGCACGTAATCTGAATCGTAATCATGTACAATATCTGTGCACACATGGTACTTTAGGTTCGTAGTATGTAGGTCGATAATCGATATGGATTCCAATGAAACCACTCGCTGACATTAATTAAATGCATTTTAACACTTCGTCATCACGCGATCGGATGACTGGCCGAATGTAACACGAGGCAATTTACTTTAAATTAAAAAGCGCTCATCGGAATTGGGCCGCGGCCTCCTGGTCAGTTAATCTCGCGCTTCCCCGAACGCATCCGAACGGGACAGATAATAAATCGCGCTTCGACGACGCCCGACGCGATGGTCCTTTGATAAGTTTCGCTGAAAAACAACGAGAGGCCGGTGGGTACGCTTTACGCGTCAATCAAACGGGCCTGCATGGCGCCGCCGATGCGCGGTTCGATTTTCGAACGGCGCGAAGCGAAGAGCCTAAGGGTCATTGACCGCATCGCAATATATTTTTTATAGGTAGTTTCATACATTTCAGCGTGATTTTTGGTTATCATTTAGAATAAGTTACAACAGCAGTTTTAATGTATTCCAAAAAAATCAGCAGTATAATAGATTTGAGTATGATGAGCAGTATAATAGAATAGACATTGAGTATAATAGATTTAATATTTTGTAGGTATAGATTTAAATCCTTTAAAATGTTAAAGTTTTGAACGTGACCCATATAAAAATGGTTGCAATAATTTTCTACGATGACTTCATTAAGATTCTCTTTTCTCATTTTCTGTCTAATGCTTTTCTTCTCCCGAGGGTGTTCTGCCCCTTCCTCCCCGGGTTTTCGACGAAGCTGTCAGACAATGATTTTCATTAATATAGATGACGCATGTACATACTGTGTGACGTTTAAAATTATTCCGCTTTACATTATATGACATATATAAGTGAATGTGACAGATGATATAGAACGAAAAGAGATCGCAGTTTATAGGATTACAATATAATTACACCAATTGCTGCAACGATTCGAGAGCGTCACTTTCGGTTCCTATACTATCTACCTCTATCTACCTCTTAACTAATGTATAAAATTCTTGTGTCACAGTTTTAGTGTTTATACTCCTCCGAAAAGGCTTGACAGATTTTTATGAAATTTTATATGCATATTCGGTAGGTATGAGAACATTTTTTTATTTTTATGTTTTCTACCCTAAAAAAAATTTACATGGCAAAACAACGTTTGCCGGGTAGTTGGTACATAATATCATTGCTGTCAGCGCCACAAACGGTCAAACACGAAATAATCTTTTCGTAGCCTATGCAAGCGTTCTTTTCGCCAGCGAATTGCGCACTGTGAGCCCACGTAGCGGGTCTCTGTCGAGGTGTGTGACAGCCGGCACGGGCCGACTCCTCGATCATCGTTCGACCGTGACGATCGGAGGCAGGGCTGCGCACACACTTTTAAATGGAAAATCTGTTAGGATTAACGGTGGCAGGGCCACGCAGCAGCCTCGGCTGTTGCACGAACGGGCAGGCCCGTTCGGGTAAGTACCACGACCTCACAGAAGACTGGCGTAAAGTGGAAGTATAATAAATACTTTCGCGTTTCGTCTGGTGAGTGAGGTAGTCGGAGCCCAATTTTCAAAAGGTTGTCAACGCATCTGTAACCCACGGGTGTATCAGATGTCCATGGGCGACGGTATTCACTTAACATCAGGTGACCCGTATGCTCGTTTGGCAACTTTTCGCATAAAAGAAAAAAGAAAAAAATACAAATATTGTATCGCCGAGTCAGTGGCAGATTTGTAGTCTTGGCCGCCCTAGGCCTTCTGCCATGTTATTACATTCCATTAAGTTCCAGCCGCCCCTTTCTCAGCCCATCTTGTTATCATCAGTGAATTTTTTGTCACGATTGGCCGCCCGTAACATGTGGCCGCCCTAGGCCCGGGCCTATTGGGCCTTAGGGCAAATCCGCCACTGCGCCGAGTACATGTGTATACTACTGTATTGTTGTATAAAGCTAACCTAATTCGGGAAAACGATATCAGTGTATCATTTTATGTATTATCGTTTCTTTCTTTTTTCATAATTTATGTCTGTAATAGGGTAGATGTTTTCAAAAATGCGCTTGTTTTAATTTTTTTACCTTTTAGTTTTTTCGGCTGGATATTGATTGAACTTTTGATAAAATCCATTGAAATTTGATTTACAAAAGAAATTATTTTTAAATGTTTCAGATGCGACTTTCATGATGGAAGAGAAAGGATGAATATTGTCCTCTTCATCTAATTATCAAACGACCCATTTAATACTTGACCTTTTACTTTTTACTAAGTTTAATTAAAATTTTTCCAATTTAGTTTAACCGCTTAAATAATCACTACCTTTGTCATTACAGAAATAGCGCATTTTGAAAATAAATTGTGCGAAATTAATTAATTTGAAAATAAATTATATTAGGGCATATCGAAAATTTACATTTCTCAAATAGTTGTATCGTTTAATTTCGTTTTAGCGCGGTTTTTATTTAAGATGTTTCATTTTAAATTCTAATAATAATTTTAATACACGTTGTCAATTTGTGACAGCCCTCCTCACCAAGAAAGCTTTCTGCGGTATAAAAGCGTGTCCTTGGGGAGCTTTCCAACAAACCATCGGGGAACTTTACCGAGCTGCAATATGGAAGGACACCTCAAGATGGCGACATTCGTAAGTTATTTCTAATTAAATTTCTATTTATTTTAAATACTGCGGCCATGTTTTTCTCAGCAGAAAAATGATTTTAAATTGTTTTGTAGTTTAGGGCTCTGTGTGAAAAAGTATACTAGATAATTATACTTAATATAAATAGAATCATAGTTAAAATCGTGATTCAATTTTGTAGTTCTAGTTCTGCATTTTTTTTCTATTTTTTCTTTATGTGATCCGATATCTTTATTGTACGTTTTAAATTACCTTCGGTGGATATAGGTTTGTATAGACACACATCTAAAGAGAAAGCATACAAGAGTATTATCCAACAATGTAGGTAAAAGAAGTTGAGTTTTTTGGCAATCAGTCGTTTAGAATCCGGAAGACGTGCGATTCCCGCAGTGACTAGAAAAAAATCGTCCTTCTCCTACAGGTTGTGATGTTCCAACTTAAGTGCAGAGATTAGCTTTTCAAAGCTTTTCTTTTTGTTAAGGATACTTTATTGTGAAAGCAATTAATATTTAATTTTTGATAGAGGTTAAGAAACCTAAGAGCTGTGATAGCTCAGTGTCTGGACGCTCACCCTTTAAATCGATTTACTCGAGCAACCTGAGTTCGATCCACGGTGCGAGCACAAATAAAATAATTAATGTAAAGTGCTGACTTATCACTATCACGGGCTCAGCGGTGAAGGAAAACATCGTGTGGAAACCTGTATATTTTCGAAACAATAACCCTAATGAAGTTTTGTTCTCAACTGCAAGTACTTCTTAATTTTTCCTCATCATATTAGCAATAGCAAGCATAGCGGTCTCGGTACCATGTTTATATGAAAATGTTTTAGGATAAAGTGCTTGCAGACAGTGAGAAATGCTAGTATTGCTTTCAGATTTCCCTCATCACCGCATTGTGTGGTGCATCATCAGCCGCCACGAGGGAGGAGCGAACAGGCTCACTGCTCTCCGAAAAGATCCTGGGCGGCGTGATAGACATCGTCCACAGCCACAAGAACAAGCCCACTCCCCAGCCGCAGGTGGTGTACCAACAGGCCCAGCAGTACCCGCAGCAGTACCCACAATACCAGCAGTGGAACGGCCCCGGATACCAGGGCAGCAGCTACTCCCAGTACCAGGGCCAGAGCCAGTACGGGTACGCGCCGCAAAACGGCCACCAAAGTGTCGGCTATCCTCAAAACGGGGGCTCCTACTCCGGCCAAGCGTATCCCGCAAGCCAGGGCTTCAGCAACCAGGGCACCAGCCAAGGGCAGTACCAGACAGGTTACCAGCCCCCTAACGGACCGTACCAGCAGACACAGTCGACGCAATTTCAGCAGGGCCAGTACGCGGGGTCCACCGGCCAGTACTACGGTCAGGGTTCGCAGGCCTCCCTGGCACCTGGTGCTGGGCAAGGCGGAGCCCAGGGCTTCCAGGTCACCGGCGGCGGCCAGGCCGGCAGCGGACCTGGGCCGGCGTGCGTCTGCCAAGCCTGGACTAAGCCCCAACACGATCCGCTTCACGACAGCCCCACTTCCGAGAAGATGGAGAAGATACACGAGAAAGCAGAATAAGTTTGAGAATCCCAGCTGCTATAGAAAATTATTGAAATATTATTGATATAAGAGGGGCTTTATTTATTCGTACTTAATTTAAATATACTAGAAATGAATAGGTATTTATTTCATTTTTAGCTATGAGCAAACGGCTCTAAGCTTTTGTGAAATATCCGGTCAATTGTGCATGTTTTCTGGGCTTTATGATCTTAAATAAAAAATTAAAAAATGTTCCTTTCCATATTTATTTCATATTCTTACTAGCTTTATCTGCGATTTCGTCCGCTTGAATCTTGAAACGGAATCAAATGAAATAAAACTGGTTTTTGCATAAACAGTTGTAAAAACACAGGTTTTTCTTAATTACGTATTGATTTAAGGTTAGTAAGAAATACAATCTACACTCTCTGGAAAGTTTTCCTTTTAATTTTAATTTTTTTTAAATTAATAAAATTTTTTATTTCATTCATTTTTTAATTATTATTTTTGCATAAAATAAAATAAAATGACATGAAAGCGGTGGCAATGTGGCATAGTTTGAACAAAACAGAACACTATCTATAACGATGTATCCTTTTCTAACGCTATCGTATTGGACGTATTTTTTAACGGTAAGTGAAATAAATTAGTAAATAAATAAAAGGTCTACCAAATTATTAGACCTAACTGAGCCTCGTCCGGAAAAACAAACGAATATACAAAATTTTCTGTGCTTAGGTTTCCAGAACGTTCATGTTTTTTTCAATTTTAAAGGTCACCTGTCGTTAAGTGAGGTATGCCACCCTAGCGCAGTCACCACCAAAGATATGTAAGTAAAGTAAGAGTAAGGCAAAGGCCTCCTCTGTACTGAGGGAGTTAGAGAATACCACCACGCGACTAAACTTCAAATACTGCGAAAAATATTTCTTTTGTTATTTGTTCGTATATATACTACAGGTTCCTCCACGATGTTTCACCCATGAGTACGTTATATAACGATAAGAGTGTAGGCCTCCGATAGCCTCAGTCAATAGACGAAACGCATAAGTACATATATATGTTACTTGATGCCTACCTTCTGAAAGACCATGGTGCTTTACCTCGATAGAACTGGCACGTTTTATCAGCAGGTTCTGATATCGTATGTGACATCTATGTTACTCTAACAAAGTTAAACGTTCTTCTATACTCACAATAATTCAATTTAATTTATGCTTCGTTACACAACCTATTCGGGTAACAAGTCAAAATTATATTATCTTATCCTTTAAACAAGCAATTCTTGTATATATATATATATATATATATATATATATCTGACTTCATTGATCGGTTTCATTTTTAGAAAATGTCGTTTTATCCCAATTTTCAGGGAATGAAAAATATTATTCGAATACGACGGTAAATTTCACCGAAAAAAAATGTTATAATAGCTCGGTCGGTAATCGGGCGGCCGCTAACATACAGCCACGAAACAGAAGGCCGTGGTTCGTATCACGATCATTTACACACTTATTTTTTTACTTTTTTTTTTCGATTCCAGATCATTGCTTTCTTTATCTTTTATTTTTTGTCGATTTGTTATTTTGTTATTTTTTTCCCTTTTTTTTAAGTTCTTTCTTTTGTGAAAAACATCAGTTCATATTTTCTTATTATTACGTCGGTAAGATCGAAAAATATTACGCATATTTCATTACTCAGTAATTTGTATCTAAATGTAATTTCCAAAACACACGATTTACCAAAAAAAGAACAAACCGAACAAAGCTCGGTCCTCCGGGTACTAAAGGTTTATAAAAGATGGCGCCTCGACTCTGGTAGGGAGCAGCTTTTGATGTTACACTAATCTTTGCAGAAGACGAGGAATTGACGTCATATACCTTTGCGTTTCGTCTGGCAAGTATCAAGTCACATAACCCATAAACGGGCCCACTCAGGTTTGAAGAGCTAAGCCCAGCTTTAACCGCTAGTAAGCGCACAAATTGAAGAGCTTTTAGCTTAACAATGCTTTAAAGTACTAGTAGCTTATGTTAGTTCCATCTTCCGCTTTGGTTGAAAGACGAGAAAGCTTATCTTACTTTATCAATCTACTAGTCATTGGGCTTAGAATATCAAATAATTATTTATTCAAAGGCATTACGGACAGCAATAAAATTCATAATAAATAATTATAACAGGAATTGAACTTGAAAGGAATAAATAATGCTATTTCTTAATAATTTTACTTGTCTCATTTAAACATGTTGCAATAATTATTAAATTCGAGAAGCATTTTTTGGATATAAAATAAATACGCGTTTCATTCTATTATTGTTCCATAGTCGCAGTTTTATTGCTATTTTTAAATGGCAGGCGCTATTTTATTATATTTGCATTCTTACTATTTTTTTACGTTTTAATCTCGTTAGCGTTTAAATATAGCTGTTTGTCGCATAAAAATATCATAAAAAATAATAATATAATGTAAAAAAAAGTATAAATAATAATAATAAATAGTTTCTCCCGTAATTACGGTATCGCTCTTATAAATAATACGAAAAAACGGTAATATAGAACTTAAAAATAAACTCAAAAAAAATTTATTCATATATCATAAAATCAATTCTTCCCTAGACTTAGAATCAGGCACATTGACCAGATACAGCTTTACCAACTTTTGTTCGAAGCTGCTAACAGAAAATCGTCTCAAATGACCGGCAGTAACGTCGTGCGGAAACGTACTAAATAGCGTTGCAGCCTTAGACGACCAGAATAAAATGGTCCCTGGTTATAATACGCCGCCAAACGGGACGCTCCCGGCGGGGGCTCCAGCGCGCTGGACTTCAGGAAGTAGGTCTGAAAAGTGCGCGCGCCGGCTTACGTAATCGTTACGTAAGGGGCGAGCGGGGGCTGCAGGGGTTGTGCGCGGCCCGAGCGGGGCCGGGGCGAGGGGGCGAGGGGGAGGGGGCCGTCGGACGGGGGCGAAGGCGCCGAGAATCGATTCCCATCCGCAGTCCGGCTCGGCGCTCGAACATGGCAGACAAGAATAAGGTTGCTGAACAATACTACGCCCCACCGCCGGACCTAGGCAAATGGGAGGGCTTCAGGATCTTCCTGTGGAACTCCGAGACGGGCCAGTTCCTCGGCCGCACGGGCTCCAGCTGGGGTGAGTACTCGTACACCTGACAGGGCTCCAACGCTTCGCACCCACCACGGCGGCTGCGGTTTTGGAGGGAAAATTGAGACCGGACAGCCGTAAGAAGATCGATAAAGTCCTCGTCTAAAAGCGCCTTATGTTATTTATATTTCTACTGATATTAATGTAAGTATTCGTTTTACGGGTAAGGCAGATTTTAGTTACGTAACGAGCTGTGAATGTAACGCTTTCGGCAACTATTTTAGTCTTAACCGATTCGCTTACAGTATTTGATGAATGAAAATTGATGTTATTCCTTTTATAAATATGTTATTTCTCTCATCAAATCGTTTCCGCTCGTAGGTCGGCAAATATTAACACAATTTTTAATTCAATTCCTGTTTCATTTGAGGAAGAATCCGAAAATCCGCGTCAAAGGAAAGTACTTTGTACTACATTTAAATTGGGTTTTCAGTGAGAATAATAGTTGGTACTGTTCACCAGATGTTAAGTTACGTGATAATAGCCCTTAGCACATTGCGCGAGAGTCGATATTCGCGTTTCTTTACTTCATCTTTATTCCATTATTATCATATTTCCCATAAGTTAGGTGTCTGCGCCGCGTTACTTACTTATGTAAGTATTCAAGCGCCTTAATTCATATGACTTCCATGTAAGCGTAGTAATCGATATTAATAATTAGAAATTTACGCTACGACATCGTTCTTAAACATTACCGGACGTTAGAAACCTTATAAAAAACTGCTATCACTGAACAAAATTGCTTGAACACAAAGGAGAAGAATACGCGAATTTAAATTATACATTCGGCGCTGTTAACAATGACAAATAAGAATAGACACATATTGCAGCGTTTTAAATATGCCATCATTGCACTGAACAACAATGCGATGTAACAAATACAAAATAATGTCGAATGGCGATCTCAATTATGTACTGAACATACCTACAGCGAAGAGATAAAAAATAATATGAGTTAACACTGCAACAGTCACTGCAACAGATACTATACTAATGGCGATATGAAAATGTAGATTCGACTCTAACTCTATTTCAAATCCCAACAAGAAAATCGGAAAACCATCAAGATTTCCCGCCGTCAGATGCCGCCATATTTGTTGCGATGGTGATGACGAGCGAAACAAAAGACTTCCCATTTCAAAACATCTGTAGGCCATCCGTAATCGGATTACGCAAACGCCTCACAGATAATCGGATATACGTGCATAGATTAAATACTTAAAAATTTTGGCGCTAAACATTTCCAATATGGGGCCGGGTAATGGCGGCGGAACGGCTGCGCGCGCCGCGTCCTTCCAATCGATCCAAGGACGGCCGCGAACGCTCCATATTCGTACTCACCGTAACAACGAAATTGGCACAATAGCTGTGCTTGTCTTTGCCTCTACGTGGCTTATAGTAAAACTAGACAAGTCCCACATTCTTTCGGCTAATTGTTGAGTTATCATTGCTTTCGTCAGATTCGTGATCAGTAATTTTCAGTTGCACGTTAAATTATTATTACATATTACGAAAAGGTAAAGCTCACGAATACATTGTATTTTCGATTACTGGTTAATAGATTTGTGCATTCTATTAGTACTATTGGTATATCAATAAATTAATAATAACGAAATTCTACTATAAATTATGGACATGATGATATAATAAAATCGCAACATTTTTTTACAAATAGTATAGATACTATAAACCGTGGTCTTCCAGGTTGTAAAACATTCTAAAACGTGAGCCACACCCATTTAGACTAAAAGTAAGACTATATAGTTATTCAACAGTAAATTTTATAGTAAAGATTAAACGTAAAAATGTTCATTGAAATAAAAGACGAAGAAACAAGTTTTAGGACTAGTAGTGTAAAAGCGAACTATACACGTAGTATTTTGTGCGGATGCATTTTCCGCAACTGAAATTTCGAATTCGGAACAAAGCTCTGTACAATTAATATAACAACAGGGCGTGTCCGCTGCATCTCTGTATCCGTTCGATACAAGGAACCAATCGAATTATGAATGAATAAATGAATGAATGAATTTATTTTAAACAAACACAGTTACTTATACACAACTAAGGCACAAAACCAAATAGGAACGTACTCATCACGATTTATCGTCCCATCAACTCTTTTTTATGATCAAAGTAACGTACTTCATTGGTATCTTTATTTCTGGCATTTTATCTTCTTTTTTGGGGATACCCCTTTAGTTTTTATTAATTTCTCGTTAAATTATAAACCCTTTTCCTATATGGCGTGTCCACAATGAATAACAGTAATCATCGAAGATTCCTGCTAGTTAGACTAACCTTAAATTGACATTCATTACATTGATACATTGACAAATTTATATGAAAGCATGAAACAACAGCTATTAGTAATTAATAATGTTTGGTAATAGTTTTATAGTTTCCATCAGACGGCATGCGATGGGTTAACTTAACGAGATAAGCTAATTTCCTGCGTATTCATTTTGGAGTCATTTTATGTTGGAATAGCTGGCGCAAATAGATATATAATTGAATATTTTATCTTCAAACTTACAGCTAGTATGCAGAGGTGTAGTATATTTAAATAAAAAGAATATAAAAAAAACGAAGTATTTGAAAAAATCTGTTCTGCCGTTTCTGAAACATTTTTGTTTGGACCCATCTTGTAATTGAATGTCACTGCGTTTTATATTTCCCATACAATACGATATAGGGAATTGTATTTCTTATAAAGTTCCTATAGATTCTATTTTCTACCGTAAAACAAATCCGCAGAATTGTCATAGTCTTTTATGATTTTTTACAACAAACAAAGCACGAGTGTGATAAAATTGTATCTCCTATACAGGGAGGCTTTTCGAAGTGTATCCATTTTTTTAATTAAATTCTAGACATAAATAATATTATATAAAATATGAAAAATATTTTAAAACACTCGTAAGTAATAAATTACATTCATTTGAACTTATTTTAAAAAAGTCCGTGATTTATACGCAACTCATTTATTTACGCGCAATCATTCATAACTCGCACGCACACAAGTTCGTTTGTGTGCGTGAAGAGTAAAATTTAGGTATTTATGAATGATTACCGCGTTGTCAACAAGTTCTGTTTTTAGGGAATAGAATGGCAATTTTTTTAAAAAAAAAAAATTATGTTTTTATATAAACGATTATACTACCGTGTTTGAACCTCCTGTGTAAATTTGGGCACCTCTAAAAAAGTCTCCCTGTATGAATTGACCTTAGTCATATTCATATCATCACGAACGTTTCAAAAAACTTTAAAAAACGTTAAGTAAGCAGCATAATATTAATCTATAAGTTACAACAAACAGCTTTGGTCGGTATTGATTCTCATCAATATAATAAAATTCTAATGCTTTGATATAGATGACATATTTTATGATGTCCTTTATATCAAATCGACAGATTTGTATTGCTTCCATATAGGAAACATTGAGCAACAACAATACATTGTTAGCGAACTAGTTGATTGTGGGGTTACCAACGACTACGGACTTGCCATCAGCTACGATGATAGTCATGCCAATAATTGGGACTTCAAATTTACCCATTTTTAGGGTTACCCAAAGGGTAAAACGGAACTATTACTAAGACTCCGCTGTCTGTCTGTCTGTCTTTCCGCCTATCACCAGGCTGTATTATGAACCGTGATAGTTAGACGGCTGAAATTTTCACAGATGATGCATTTTTTTGCTGCTACAATAAAAAATACTAAAAAAAAAAAACAGAATAAAATTTAAGAGTGACTTCCATACAGGAAAAAAAATTTATCGTTTTTATTGATAACTGTACGCGAGTCCGATTCGCACTTGGCCGGTTCTCGTATTTCCCAATAAGCCTTTGCGTCATTGGGTTTCTACGTCATTTATATTTAACGAGGGTGTCCCCCCCCCCCCCTCGCCCCTAGCACTTAGGGCTGTGCCGCGCACTCGTCGTGACCTATGCCAACCTCGCACCACACGAAATGCAACCCGAAAGGCCGACCCCGTTTCGAGTATTCCAGTTTTATCGCCTAGCTACATCTGGGTTAACGCTAGGTGCTGATGGCCTTTTTTTCTAAGGTAAATCCAATCGTCAGTTCGGATTGCAACATTTTTTCAAATACGCTTTTAATGGTCCCCCGCAATCGAGCGACAAAATTGTTTGACAAAATTGACAAAGTTGAGAAGACGTGGAACAGTTTCCGAAGATATTACACGGTTATGAATTTAACACAATGATATTTTACGTTTATGGAAAATGGATAATAAAAGGAAATAAACAGGTGTAAAGAAACCGCTTCGATGTTTTACTTTTTTTGACATTAAATATGTATATTTTGATATTTTTCTGTGGTATCACGTCCCATAACCGATAATCCGTTAAGTTAGCATGGGTTATCTGTTAAAATTAATTTCCTGACAATTACAGCAAATAAAGATTACTGTGTAGCTGGATTTTTCCAATGAATGTAGTCAACTGACAATTAAAGTTATAATATAAAGATGAAGAAAACAATGGATGTATAAAGACAACAAAATATTTGACCTCACGATAAAAAAACGAAGGATGTCTTAAAAAAAATCACATGAGATACTTTTACTTTTTAAACTTTTTTGTTCTACCTCGGATGAATGGTGTTTGATTTGTTTCACAATCAGAAGTGTCTATAAAATAAGAAATAATGATAATATTAAGTAATTGTTATATTTATGATGATCTTTAGAAACAGACAATCGGCTAATTTCGGTTTCATAGACCTTTATCCGTTTAGCCGTGATAGTTCAGTGTCCGGGCGCTCGCCTCTAATTCAATATACTCGAGCAACCTGAGTTCGATCCCCGGTGCCGGCACCAATGAAATAGTTTTATGTTATATAATTTTATGTGCCGAATTATCACGTGTTCAGCGGTGAAGGAAAACATCGTGAGGAAACCTTTATAGGTACCTTCGAAATAATAATAAAATATATACATATTTCGAACATAATATGTGAAGTCTGCTGATCCGCAGTGGGGCCGCGTGGTGAACTATGCCCTGATACCCTCTGTACAGAGGAGGCCTTTGCCCAGCAGTGGGACAGGTATAGGCTGATACTTTAGACCTTTATCTCATAATCTACCTATGCGACTATTGTTACATACACTACGTATTTAACTTGGGTACATTTTTTTTAAATATTCTTACCTCAGAGCTCCATAAATTTTTATTTCCAATGGTCTCTTTAAAAGAAAACTGAAATATTTTGTTTCTGCTGTTTTTCAGGTGAACCTACTACTAAAAGTATTTTGGTCGGTTCCTTTAGATTTTTTTTATCTCTCTAAACGTCCGCTACCAATATGGCCGCGTCAATTCGCGCGCCGGCGTTAATTACTGTCATAATTATTACGAAACTGGGGCGATAGATATTGTCCTAGATCGATAAGGTCGTATCACAACATTGTTCTAATCTAGTCCTTAATTTATTTGTAGCTGGCGTTCAGAATATGTAAAGGTGGTTAATTTTTTTTTAAATCGTGCCCGAGGTAAACACTTACTTTAAAATCTTAAATGAGATTTGTAAACTGAGGTCCTATTGGTGATGTCGGGATCTAGACTGGACGCATGTTCTCACGTTTTAAATTCAAACAGTTTATACGAAAACAAATGATGTTTGGAATGAAAATATTTAAAAAAAAGTTCTTCGAGTACCCAAACATGACAGGTTGTTAACAGGACCCGTGTGCTGGGCAAAAATGTACGAGAGTGGTATTGTTGTCGTTGCATCGGTTCGACACGTGAAAGATCCTATAAATAGAAACACCTTGGTATCATTCGTTCGAAGGATAGCAATAATAGTTTGTAAAAACCATAACACTGGAGCTGCGCGTGACCTAATTAATACATAGAAACGATACGTGGCTCTTATATTTCTAGTATGAAATGCTTACGTACATGCACTTGAGAACTGTTAATGAATAGGGCAAATGAATATTGATGCGAATTTATTAGGACAGTCCAGTTCTTCTTAAACGTCAACTTCTTAAGTTACTCTTCACGGTCGATGGTGGAGGCTTGGTAGTTTGTGACCAGGCTCTTGGTCTGATTTTTTCGATTCGATCCACCAGACTGCAAATCCCAATAACAGCTAAACTATTTAATTGTAATTAAGTGCTGATTCACCAGGAGTGATCGGTACTTGCTCGTGAAGGAAAGCATTGTGCGGATACCAGCTTGTATGATAATTATATAAAAGATTCGTGAAATTCGTCAATAGCCTCGTGGCGTACTATGTCCTTGTACTCTTTTCTTGCTTTTTTTTTTATCAGGGACTGACTAGCGGCGACTTCTATCCAACGTAAAAGTTGTTGTAGATGTAGCCGTTGGTAACAAACGAAAGTTCTATTATCTTTTGTCATGAACTTGACACTGAAATTAGATATTTTATCAACTAGTAGGACATCACGTAATGTTAACCTTGTACCTCAAATGAGAAGAGCGGATTGGGCATGTAATTATGTTATGCTACAGTTTTTGCGTGAAGTTACGCTCGTTCCGGCATTTAAACTAGACAGAAGACCAGGCCATTTCTTTGGTCTCGGGGGAAAATCTTCACCTTAAATGATAAGGTTATGTTGGGTTCATACCCCCTAAAACTCCCTCGGTGGCCACCTTCTGTACGTTTGGAGGGACTCCGGGATCTCTTACGGAACGCACCGGTGTCCTTCGGTACTGCGCGTGGGCACGCCTCGGAGAAGGATAAAAAAAGTAAAAGTAAAGTAACAGCCTATACATGTCCCACCGCTGGTCCAAGGCCTCCTCTATACAGAGGGTATCAGGGCATAGTCCACCACACGGCCCCACTGCGGATTGTCGGACTTCACATATTTTCGAAATACATTTTTTTGTTATCATTTCGAAAATATGCAGGTTTCCTCACGACGTTTTCCTTCACCGCGGAGCACTTAAAGTTAAAAACTTCATTGGTGCCGGCACCGGGGATCGAACTCAGGTTGCTCGAGTATAGTCAAAGTCAAAGTCAAATATCTCGAGTATACTTATTGAAAGTCAAAAAACTCTACCACCGGTTCGGAAGGTAAGCCACGACCGGCGTAAGAAACTCAGCGTGACATTATTTTTTTTTACTTGCCAAAAAAATTACAAATATGTGTACAATTATTAAACTCCTATTAAACACCACTTGAAAGAGCCTGGAGCGATCAATTCATTTCCAGAGTGTGTTATCATTCAGAGTGAGTATATATTGAATTAAAGGCGAGCGCCCGAACACTGAGCTATCACGGCTCTCGGAGAAGGATAAACCTTCCCCGATTCCCTCATCATCTGGCAACAACTGTCTGTGTCCCATTTTAATCGCCTTTTACGACAGGTAGGGGATACCTCAGAGCCTTAGACTGATCATACTCGGAACCCTAGTTAGTTCCGTATTGTGCTGTCCTATCTCAATGGTTTGTTTCGCTGGGATGCGAGAAACTCGGTCAACGTTCGGTGACCAATTAGCGGCAGAGCCGTTCCCACTTACGAGCAATTATTACGTAGAGCAATGCCGTCTATTGCCATTCGTGGAATGTAAACAATGACGTCTAATTTGAATCGCCTTTTGGGTGTTCTAAAACGGGAAAGAATCCGTAGGATGGCGTAAAAAATATTGAAATTCTAATCTTGAACGAATTCATATGTACAGATATTGCTCAGACTGCTACCAACGAAAAATCTGCCCAAACATTTAACGCAAACTTACTATTATTAACAACTTTGGTGGTCAGGTAATTAATGTTCACATTTTTGTTAGAGCTTATCTGAACTAATAACAGTAGTTAGTAATGCGAGAGTCCATATCAGATAACATAACATCAACAATAATTGGTTTCGAATTCGTCAGTAATATAAATAAATAAAATTACGAGACATATTTTTACACAGCCCTACCTAGTCCCAAACTATGCAAATCTTGTACTATGGGTACTAGGTATTCTTTTGTAAATAAATACACATTATAGATATATAAACACCCAGACACTAGAAAAACACTATGTTCATCACCCAGTTGTGGGGATAGAACCCACACCCTCACGCAGTAGACAGGGTCTCTTCGTTCTGTTCTCTTCAACTACATTTCCATATTAAAGTTTTTCTCTCTTTGATTTGAAGTTGTTCCCTTGGTTCCCGGAACGTAATTTATTTTCAATTTGAGATTTGTTAATATAATAAGTTCAAAAAAATTAGATCGTTTGAACATTGTTAAATGAAACTAAGTGATTTACGCACTTTATCGCGTTTTAATTTTAATTTCCAATTCCCTGGGACAGACTCTCCCTTGTATACATTAACATTAACGCTGGATAGGGTTCGAAACTTCGTCGGGACTTTAAATGTTATATAAAATTTAGTTTAATTTAAAATCAAGTTAGAACGATAATAATATCCGTAAAATTGTAACATCTAACCGTGTACAATATTCGAGCAAAAAAAAAGAAATCAGTCCAGCTCGTTTGTAGTATATATTTATATTTAAATTTCTGTCGGCGTGTCCATACCTAATGAAACATTCAACGGTCTCGGTTATTCTCATGTGATATACATAAGCAATAAACATCTTTGTTCACAGCTAAAATCCTCCTGTTCTACCTCATCTTCTATGCCATCCTCGTGGGGTTCTTCGCCGCTTTGCTGGCGATCTTCTACCAAACGCTGGACTACAAAACGCCCAAGTGGCAAATGGACGGCTCCCTGATCGGCAACAACCCAGGTAATCAATCATACGTGTCTCATTGTAATGATAATGTTCTTTTTATGGAATAATGGGCAAACGGGCAGGTGGCTCACCTGATGGAAGTGATCACCGTCGCCCATGAACATATGCAACAACGGAGTGCTTGCAAATGTTCATGGGGGCATGTTAAACATGTCTCGTTATGTTGTTTTACAACCGACTTCAAAAGGAGGACGTTCTCAATTCGACTGTATTTTTTTTTGTTTGTTATTTTTTGTATTTTTTTTATCTTTTGACTTTATCTTTTGATGAAAATCAATTATAAAATAAATACAGAGCGAGATATATGAAGTCGGTTTGTTTTCGTTAGTAAAAAATGGTTATTGTGTGTTTTATGTGCAAAAACTGGCATGCGAGAAGGCAGTTCACCGATGTAAAGTGATTATCGCCGTCTATTGACTTCTACAACACCAGAAAGCTTGCCGAGTTGTACTTGTGTCATTGAGACCGGTTGAAATGCGAAGAAACAATGTTGATAAAGGACGTTTGATATTTTCTTCGGTGGGGCGATCAGCCGTTTAGCTTAGTGGTAAAAGCGTTTGGGCTCGAATCCGGAAGTCGTGGGCTCGATTCACGCAGCGGCGAAAAACTCTTGTCCTTCTTTGTACAAATTTTTTGACTAAAGAGTTTCTCGGCTCTTCTCTGGTCAAGTCCAGTTGAACCGGTGGTATTACAGTTGCAAATCACAACGCAATAAATTTAAGTATAAAAAAACTCAATACTATTTATGAGAAAGAAGAAACAGTAAATAAAAAGATAAAAATCCAGAGAACTGCGACTACGATGAAATTTGCAACATCATTATATACAATCCCAAAAAAAAAAAAGAAATTAAACATAAAAAAGAAATTAAACATGAAAGAGGAAAAATAAACGTAAACATAATCAAACATAAAGTTTTAGAGTTTTGATGAATGACGAGGGATTGTTTACATCACTAGTTAAACTACTAATCACTAATCAAACATTTATAATCTCCAGGTCTTGGCTTCAGACCGATGCCGGACACCGCCAACGTGGAAAGTACCCTGATCTACTACAGGGCCAACGACAAGGGCTCCGTGCTCAAATGGGCCTCCGTCATCGACGAGTTTCTTGAGCGTTAGTTTACAATAACAACTACTAACTTCTTTTTTTCATTTTGTAATTTTAAATGGATTTGTGCAAACATTCTTATTACAGTTTGAAAGTTTATAGTTTATTCTGCAAACACTAATGTAAGACGTTACGTCAAATGTAACTAAACATGAATGCATCTAGCATTCTTGGGACCGTGCTGTACCGATTTATCGTAATTGTTATCATTGGTGAATTAATTACCTTGATAAGAAGGAAGAAAGGAAACAGCGTGTATATTTCCCACTGCTGAGAAAAGCCCTCCACAGGGTGTTAGGGCAGATCCACCACCCAACCTCACTGCGGATTGAAACACTCACATATTTTCGAAATATTTTTTTTCAATAATTTCGAAAATATGCAGGTTTCCTCACGATGGTTTCTTTCATTGTTAAGCACGTGATAAGTCAGCACTTAAAGTTAATAATTACATTGGTGCCAGCACTGGGATTTGAAATCAGATTGAGCTTATTGAATTAAAAGCGAGCCCTTAGCGACTATCGCGGCTCTGATCTTGGTAATATTTATCAATAACTGATAAATATTTTTTTTTCTCAATAATCACTCGTTCTTTCGTACTAAAAGAAATACAGTAAGAGAAGAAAGACACTTAGGCCCAAGGAAACGTATTTATCCTCTTCATAGTAGAAAGAAGAGGATCGCGCGTAGTTGTTAGCCTTGGGGAAATATATTCCCAGCAGCCACAAGAGTCACACATTGTCCCCTGCAGAATACCGCAAGAAGGGCAGCGGCGGCGGCGAGGCTTCGGGCGCTGAGAACCGCGTCCCCTGCACGCCCACTTCTGGGCCGCTGGGCGAGAAGCAGGTGTGCGACGTGCCAGTCGACAACTTCCACCCGTGCACCTCCGCCAACCAGTACAACTACGAGGCGGCCGGGCCCTGCGTGTTCCTCAAGCTCAACAAGGTGCGTTCATAACCAAGATGGGACCGATGGATCCGACAAAAATATATAGTATTTAAGCAAATACTTTCGGAGATTGGTTTAAAACAAACTAAGGCATAAGACACTTGACTTACAAACGGCATCTACTGTAAAGTGTTTCGTACACTTGGGAATTAAAAATAAATTAAATGCTTTTAGTAATAATAATAATGACATATCGATGATAGTTTATTTATTTAAGCTTCATTGCTACACCTTTACTTAAGGGCTAAATGGGCGGATAAACATTTTGGTGTTATTATTCAGAATATCTTTTAATTTGATAGCGCCTGGTATATTTCTATTGTCTCTCAATATGAACTTAAATTTAATAAAATTACTAACACGATTACGTTGGTAATTAGGGAGAAAATAATTCAGAGACATTTTAATTTAATTCAGATTGTTCAGCTTGTAATAAAGACTGCAGATTTTGATGACGTTTATCATCTGGTCGTATTTCGTACTTTGCTGTAATTAACCATTTATCACGACTTCCAGATCTTTAACTGGACCCCTCTGCCATACAACAGCACCGAGGGTCTCCCAGATAAAATGCCTGAAGACCTCAAGCATCACATCAAGACCATTGTGAGTACATTCAAATTTATATTAACGAATATGTTTCGTTTATATTAACGAATATGTTTCGTTAATATAAATTTCCAATCGTCAAATGTTACTATAACAGACAAAGGCTTATTATATTACGTATTGTTTAATACAAACTATCACTCATTGAAACCGTATAGGAGACGATGACAACGCATTTAAAAATAAAAATTTTAAAATTAATTTAATTTATAAATCATTTAGATGCAGAAATTCTCAGACAGACTTAGGTTATTAGATTAGTAAGATTCAAAGTTAAGTGTATAAAAATTTCCAATGAAAATGAAAACTCTTACCACAATTCGGTTCTTACCGGTCGATTGTTCTCATACCTCTTAGTAGATTGGTTATGAAATAAATAATCAACTTCTCAAATAAATTTCGAATCATTCTCTAACAGGAAACATTTCAGCTCGGTTACGACTGGCGCTGTGTATACATGTGCGGTCATACATGTTCCGAAATTGATAATGAATGCCCAAGTGGTTTCGAAGATTCCGAACAGTACGACGGGATTCTCTCTTTCAGGAAGGGAAGCCCGAGGCCAACGTAGTGTGGGTGTCGTGCCAGGGCGAGAACCCCGCCGACGTGGAGAACATGGGTCCGGTGCAGTACATCCCCGGGCGCGGCTTCCCCGCCTTTTACTACCCCTTCACCAACAAGGAGGGCTACCTCAGCCCCCTCGTCGCCGTGCTGTTCGAAAAGCCCAGGAGTAAGTGGATCCCACAAAGCTGTACTGTACCCAAGGGTATTTTGCACAGCTATTTCTAAAGTTAATTTCTGAAGTTTAATAAAGTTAACATTTACATATGAAAATTCTTATAAAGAACGTATGGTAATGCTATCTATTGACAAATTGTGTAAATGAAAGAACGAAGTAGACAACTTTAATCTTAATATAAAGTTACTTACACATTATTATAGTACCATTCGTAATGATCACGGTAGTTAAAGTCATACAGTACCTTGACGCAAAAGATATAAGGTTTTTTTATGTGAATAGTTGCCAAGCCAGCAGACGGTTCACCTGATGTTAAGTAAATACCGTCGCCCATGGACATCTGCTACACCCGAGAGTTCCAGATGCGTTGTCAACTTTTTGTAAATTGGGCTCCGGCCACCTCACTCACCAGACGAAACGCGAAAGTATTATACTTCCACTTTACTCCAGTCTTCTGTGAGGTCGTGGTACTTACCCGGGAGAGCCTGCCCATTCGTACCACAGCGACTGCTGCGTGGCTGTACCACCGTGAATATAATAGTTATAAGTTAATTCTTGAATCGACGGCACCTTGCAGCCGGCGTGCTCATCAACATCGAGTGCAAGGCGTGGGCGAAGAACATCCAGTACGACCGGTACGAGAGGCGCGGCTCCGTTCACTTCGAGCTGATGGTGGACCGCTCCTAAGCGGCGTTTGGCAACTACTGGCTCTGGTGACGGCACACCCGACTGCCGACGAGCCCGCCAGTGGCCGCTTCGCTCTCAACACTCACAAAACTATAGCCATGTTAGGGGCGCTAGGCGTTTGGCAGCCAGCACATTCAAGCCGCGCGTGAACGCCTGGCAGCCCTCCGCTGCCAATCCGGCCAAGCCGTGTTCGACCCGTGCCGGCTGCCGGCTGCCAAGCGCCTCATGCGACAGCCACATAGAAGGCGGTTTATTTATATTCGTTTTAGAATAGCCGGGGGCGCCACTGTTTCCAATTTTTCGTTTACACGCTTTCAGGTTAAATTATTGGGTAATGTTTAATGTGTAATGTTTTCGGGACGGTGAGTCAATAAATATTCAATAGTTGGTTCCAATTTAGCTTTTTCCGTGGTGTTTTATTTCTAAGTCGGCAATTCCTAAATCCCTGTCCTGCTGTTCGAACAAAATCGTTAGCAGCAATGCATAACAAAATGTGTAAAAGGTTAATAGGTTAGCAAATATTTAAGAGAAAATTTATTCCGCTATATAAAATTCAGCACAGGGCACAAAAGATGCTAAATTATTATCAACAAAATTATTAAAGTAATATTTATGATTTATAAATTTCCAGTATAAATATAGCCTTTTTAATATATGAAATTTAGAGTCTAAAAATTTCCATGAACAATAAAAATTTATAAATTTCCTATGGATAACTTCATCTAATTTTGCTTAACTAATAATTTGATTTATTTGTTACGAATTTATTTTACGCTTCCTCTGACCTTAACAAAGACAGGGGGAGATAAAATTTAAAAAGCGTTTCAGTAATACTTTTATCGACCATGTCTAGATCTAAATCCGTTCCATCGATCTTATTTAAATTCGAATTATAGAATAGAATAGAAGATACTTTATTGCACACAAGGAAATACATAGAAAGAAAATACAAAAAAACAAAATAACAAGTAAAATATAGTAACAGCCCCATGGCAAATGTAAATATCTTTAACTCCGACGTAATTCAATTAAAATAAATTGTAACGATAGAGAAAAATTTCTAATGAATTAATCAACAAGCAGAATTCGGCGGTCGCTTATAGTTTTCTAGAAAAAAATATTTAAAACTTGTTATTTTTACTAAGAAATCCACCATTTTATTTATTTGACTTCAAAAACTCGATACACAGTTCTGCCAACATGATAAATATAGGAAGCGGGCGACATCATACTCGTATCGATAGTCCGATTTTTTTAAATTTAATGAGTCACAGAACCGACACAGAGCGAATCCGACTCGGATAGATTAGGTTAGAAGGTTCGAGGTTAGGTTATTTTTTTTATGACCACCAAGAAATACGAGCAGAATTGACATATTGACAACAAAAAAAAATGGCGGATTTCTATAGTAAAAATCACACTATTTCATTATTTATTTTTTCGAAAACTATAAGCGACCGCCGAATTTTGCTTGTTGATAAATTCATTAGTGATTTTTCTCTATCGTTTAAAATTTATTTTAATTGAATTACGCCAGAGTTAAAGTTATTTACATTTACCATAACCTCTGTACGTCTACCACGCGGCGCTACTGCGTTTTTTTATGTGAGAAGGTGGCAAGCGATTGGTTCACGTGATGTTAAGCGACATTTGCACGCCCATGGACATTTGACGCCCATGGACATTTGCGACTCCCGTAGGTTTGCAGATGCGTTGTCATCTTTTAATAAAGAGGTGCTCGGCTATCTCACTCACTAGACGAAACACATTAGTATAAAATTTCCATTTCACTTTCGTCTTCTGTGGGGTCGTAGTACTTACCCGGACAGACCTGCCCATTCGTGCTACAGCCGAAGCTGTTGCATGGCCCACCACAGCTAAGAATTTCCTCACAATGTTTTCCTTAACCGCTGAATACGTTAAGTCGGCACTTAAAGTTGACAATTTCACAAGTGCTCTCGCCTCGGCTTTAGATCAATTCGAGATTCTAATCAAAATACCAATAGATGGCGGTAATATACACAAGTATTACAAGCGTGATTTACATTTTTAGAGATGAACAAATGTAACTGCCATGTCGGTTTCACTTAAAGTGTCATCTCGGGTATTCGTAATTTGAATGATGTCTATATACCCACGGCTTAAATCTTATCCGAAGCAACTAGTCGAGAGTCTTATTCCTTTAATGTTTCTATGTTCTTTGCCATACAGCTAGGCGGATTCAAGTCACAGGAACATTTAAGCTCAGCCTTGCACTGTGTATCTCACCACCACCACCCAACACAGCAGGATCTATTGAAAATTCATTAGGACCGATTATTCGATTATCATTCATTTACGGTGGTAGGGCCACGCAACAGCCTCGGCTATTGCACGAATGGGCAGGCCCGTCCGGGTAAGTACCACGACCTCACAGAAGATCAGCGTAAAGTGGAAGTATGACAAATACTCGCGTGTCGTCTGGTGAGTGAGGTGGCCGGAGCCCAATTTTCAAAAGGTCGTCAGCGCATCTGTAACCCTCGAGTGTGGCAGATGTCCATAGGCGGCGGCATTCACTTAATATCAGGTGAACCATCTGCTCGCTTGACATCTTTTCGCATTAAAAAAAACCGATTACCGCAGGATGAGATCAAGAACCTTATATGGAATCGATGGACCGCTGGTGTTGCCAGATTAAATAATCTCGATGGTCATACTTTCCTCTTAAAACAATATATTATTAATGCATTTTTTTTATTAAATCCAACCAACTTTTACCAATCTTTTTAGATTACTAGTACTTTTTCTTGTTTAATGCCTCATACTCTAATTTTTATGTTTTACAATTTATTAATCATTATATTAAATATATAGGTACTAAGTTCATCTGAATCGATAAAAATCGTATTGGTTCCGAAATTTGCATATTAGTGTCTTTGTTCTGCGAACTATTCGTTACGGGTTTGTAGACACATTAAATATCAAGTCATGTCAAATTCAAAATTTCTTTATTCAATATAGGCTTATTTTAAGCTCTTATTGAACGTCAAAAAAAAACTACCACTGGTTCACTAAACTAGACCTGTCCAGAGAAGAACCGGCAAGAAACGGTTTTATCTTTTTCAAGTTATACTTCTTTTGGCGCGTTAGGGAAAAATAATGAGAGTACATTTATGAGATGCGCGCGCACACCGTCACGAAAAACCGACATCCTGAAGTTAGCTAGATACCTACGTATGTTTGCGTGAGGACTGGCAACTGTAATCACGATAATTATTTTGTGATATTTAAATAAACTTTATTTAACTAGATAATGCTTTATAATAAAACTTTCAACACGACACTAACAGGCAACTAAGGTATAAATACCTTTTTTCTATTATCTTCTTCTTCTCGTTCCTCTCCAATCACTGGAGGTTGGACATCAGCATAGAGAATTTTTCCTTGTCTCTAGCAAGGTGGAACAGCTTGGCAGCACTCGTTACTCCGGTCCACTCCAGAATATTCCGGAGCCAGGACTTTTTCCGACGGCCAACTCCACGGTTACCCGCAATTTTGCCCATCATGATGAGGTGCAATAAATCGTATCTCTCGTGCCTAAAGACATGACCGAGGTAAGCAACTTTTCTGTTCTTTATTATATGCATTAACTTGCGGCTTTGACCTACTTTCTTTAGCACATCTTTATTAGAGACCTTTTGAGTCCAGCTTATAGAAAGCATGCGTCGGTATGTCCACATTTCGAACGCCTCTATGCGTTTTCGAAGGTCTTCTTTAATGGTCCAAGCTTCGCAGCCGTATAGTGCTATGGGCCAGATGTAACATTGAAGCAGTCGTGTACGCAAGGGAATACTGATGTTGCGACTGGAAAGAATTGATCTCATTCTATTAAACGCACCACGGGAGATTTCAATACGACTTTTTATTTCTGTGTCGCTTTCCCAGTCTTCCGTTAACCAAGTCCCTAAATATTTGTATTTGCGCACAACCCCCAACTTCTGCCCAGACACACATATAAGCTAGGACTCAATCTAGTCTGTCTTGAGATGACCATAACCTTTGTCTTTTGTGCATTCATCCTGAGTCCCGCTTTCAAACTACATTCATTCAAACGGTTCACAATTTTCTGAAGATTTTCTATTATAAAAAGGTATAAATACCTTTTTTCTATTATTAGTGTCATTTTTTTCTACAAACGTAGAATAAGGCGAAAGATAAAATTTTTGAAAAGATTTTTTATCTTGTTTTTAATTAAGTACACAATTTATATAAGTACACAAAAGTATTCAAGTATAAAATTAGCAGCAGTCAGGAGACTCGCAAGTCCCGAGCAAGAGTCATTTCCGAACATCCTTGTCCTCAATGTATTCTTCGACATTATTATAGGCACTTTCCATTGGTGTAGCTTTTACAAAATGTTTGAAATTGTTTACACATAATTGTTTGTGGATGTCACCTTTTACAAATGTTAATACACCAACTAACAAACAATTTCCTGATTTTAACTAGTCCAAAGCTCTGTATTTCCAGCGCGTCATAATATTTTTTTTTTATTTATTTATGCTTTATTAAAACTAACCTTAAGAAAAAAAAAGGTAACAAAGGGCGGACTTAATGCTCAAAGGAATTCTCTACCAGTCAACCCAGGACGTAGTGAAAGTTTATGGTAGGCAGGGATGTAAAGATTACAAAATATATTTAATAATATATTTCCCCTTGCGTGAACTGAAACGCTTTTTCTGCACTATCTGGTCTCATGCATCCAGCACGAGGGTTCACTGTCTATTTTCATTCAAGTACAACTGTTAACATACTCAAATTTCTGTAACGGATATGTTTTGCTTCTACTGTGGTGGAAATGGTGTAAGGTCACAAACGCCATTACTGTACTAAACAAATTAACACACCGATCGTTAAATTCCTGGGGTTGCGTGGCCCACATGGGATCGTTATAGAGGGCTATTTCGTCGCTTTGGTCCGAAAAGTATTAAAAAGGAGATTTTTTAGGCTATCCCAATCTTTAGGATACTGTTGGATTTAATGATACGTGCCATAAATTGAGTTAACCACGTAATTTAAAATGACGTTTATTAAGCACAGCTTCAATCGGTGGTAGGGCCGCGCAACAGTCTTTCCTGTTGCATGAATGGGCAGGCACATCCGGGTAAGTACCACGACCTCACAGAATATCTGCGTAAAGTGGAAGTTTAATACTTTCGCGTTTCGTCTGGTGAGTGAGGTGGCCGGAGCCCAATTTTTAAAAGGTTGTCAACGCATCTGAAACCCGCGGGTGTAGCTAATGTCCATGGGCGGCGGTAATCACTTAACATCAGGTGAACCGTCTGCTCGCTTGGCAACTTTTCACATAAAAAAATAACTAACATATTACTAGGATTTCCAGTAATATAAGCAATTTCTTTGGAGGAAGATTGCGGTAAAATATGTGAATTATCATCAAAATCGGGCACTATGCGTAGACCATCAAGACGTTCTCTACATCTGCCCACTTGAAGGATTGAATACCCATTGATTCTATTGAGATTCGTCTAAATCTATGCTAAAACGCCTACTGCTACCTGCGTCTAGCCAACGAGCCGGTCTGGTAGGTGGAGGTTTCGTCTATAACGGTATTTGCAACTTTCAACACCGTAACGGCTGAACTGATATGAATGAAATTTTATATGAAGTAAGCAGGATCATAATTTACTATTTTTTATAGACAACCATGTGACATGCAAGTGCAGTAAACATTATTATTCTCTATATTTCAATTCGTGATTGACGGTAATGGTATCGTCAATAGAGGTAGAAATTGTTTACTATTGGACCTTAAATATAAGGTATTTAGTTCAAGAAAGACTTGCAACATTCCACTTGCTATACATTTCCTATCCAATTTCGAAAAAAAAAATAAAGAAAGAAACGGTTTTTTGAGGAGTTCCCTGGTGTATCTTCGAAATCGAACAGGTTTATTCCCATAAAATTAAAATAGTCTTCAAATATATCCAAAAAAAATGTCCAAAATTGGTTCATAAATTACTATATGTATTACTGTTATAAGGTGATAAACATAAAAAAGGAAAAGATGAGCCTCTCAAGCTCATCTTTTTTGAAGTCGGATAAAAGTAGACGTTCAAGCTCAGCTACCCGTAGAACGGGCAGCTCGCTAGAATTAAATTAATTAATTAAATTAATTCTAGAATAAAATTCAAAATGAAATCAACACCATAAGCTATTGCGCATATTTATAATTAACATTTATTAATACTTAAAGCCGTTCTGCCAAGAGTGCTATAAAAATAAAATAAAACCGTACATATCAAACAAAAAAACATTTTGTTATGAATGAAAAAGATCATCGCATCCGTCTGAGATTTAACGCAGCGAAGTCACAGTTAAGACTCCCCGTCGACAGATTGCGTAAAATCAATGACACACGAAAGAGAACCCCCTACCGAATTGGCGGGGCGAATCTCCGTCGAACACCACTGGCGCCGGGCCGTCGGCGACCTCCGACCGCCCTAGATACGGGACAAAGAACCCCCGGAGTGTTTATCGTTTGTAACTTGAAAACCGCTCAGTTGCCTTACCTGGTGAGGGATCTGTTTTGTCTGATTATAGGACAAAGATAGCCGCTATGATGGACAAGCAACTTGGACGCTAGCAAGATTTACAAAGTACATATTTAAGAGTGTCGTGCCTTTGTTTGCTTAAACATTTCTGACAATTTGGCGTGAGTTCATTTGTATATAAACTTTTTTGATTAATTTTATTTTAGTGTTAGTCTGTGCGCTCTGGACCAAACTTAAAACGTGTTTTTTTGTAGATAAATGGGCAAAAACATACTGCTGTGCCGCATATTATTGTTTTAGGTTCACACTTTGTCGTAGTTTATATAAATAGTATAATTAAAAAAAAAATAAAGAAGCTCCCTTATTTATTAAACGGTTTTATTTAGCTCGACCCGTAGGAAATTTGTTTGTTTATTTGGGTCAAAATTAGAAATTGAAATTTAAGCACCTTCGCGTTGTCAGATTGATCTGTAATTTGGTACACACATTTAATTTAGATGACAATACAATATTGTAGTTTTCAGTGCACATAAAATAAAACCATTTAACTTAAAAGTTTTTAAACGGTTTTATTTAATGTTATGCTTGTTCACGTTATGGGTGTTGTATTTGGGTCTGTGAAATGATCAACGCCGCACAACAGAATTCATTAGTGGACTGCGGCGACGCCATACAGTCTCCGTCTTTACGAGATTCGATGTTTTACTGTCGTTTAAGTGTCTTTCTTACCGAACGCGACGGCCTCAACCTGTTTTCCTTGTTAATGGGGCAGTGAGTAGTGTAGTGTAGCTGCCTCCTGCGCCAGAGGGTGTGGTTTCGTTCCTCACAAATGGAAAAATATTGTGTGATGAACAAAGTGTTTTTCTAGTGTCTGGGTGTTTATATATGTATAATATGTATATATTTACAAAAGAAAATTATGTTTAGGTATGTTTGTCAGTTATCTAGTACCCATAATACAAGTGCTGCTTAGTTTATTAGTACCCACAACGCCATTTGGGTCGTCAAAATATAGGACCGATAATGGAGGTGTTGTAAATCAGGTTAATAACTATCCCTGAAAGGGCCCCCTACGCTTTTGACTTTAAAACCATGAACTCACCCCATGTCAAATATTTTAGAAATCGAATGTGGTATCTTCAACTTTTTTTTTTATTACATATGTGTGACAAAACGAAAAAAATAACCGGATTCAACTGAAAATAACACCTAATAAGTAATACTTACCTGACACTTAATGGATTAAAAGACTGAAAAGGGGCAGATATTAGGATATGAAATTCGCCTTACACTGGCGCTATTGCGCGTCACAGTTATGTAAGCTTAGCTTACTACGTATTAGTTAAATGTTGGCGTAGAGCTACGCGTGGCGCCAAAAAGTCGTCGGTGTGGCGCCGGTTCGTCGTAGCCTCTACGCCCGGTGCTACGCTTCCATTGAGCTTCGGCAATATTACGTATTCGTGTGCTTGCTACGCCAATCTAAGTTCTAATATACATCACATTATTTCTTTACTGATAGCGATAGTTTAAAACGTCGATTGGCTTATAATACCCTTCAAGTTAATGTACAATCTTAAGATTTTATTTGGAAAAAAATGTAGTAGTATATTAAATTTCCATACAATAAGCAAAAATCACTTTCAAGGTATTATCATTGATTGAAATAATTAGATTCTCTCATATATTTATTTATGTTAATTATATATATATATATTTATGTTCATGCATGTTTAAGTAAGTTTATTAAGCACACCATCTCCTACTACTCTGGAAGATAACGCTCTTTAGCGAGAATCAAATAGAAAACGTATTGCGTAATAATAATAGATGAGTAGATAGAAGAATTTCTACCGAGTTTAATTTCATTGACGTTTTTCAAGCTTTCAAAGCACAGTTTTTATAATTATTTATTAATATATATTTATTACTTTGTACAAAGCTGAAAAGTTGTTAAGCATGTCTGCGGAAGTTGACCTCAACAATTCTTATCAAAATAGCAATAACTTATGTGTCCAAATTATGGTACATATATTTTTAATAAAACGAGCCGAAATACGATAACAAGGATATTTTTACGGCCAGTATGTAACATTTTGTAGTACATATTCGCGTAAATATTTACAAGAAGTTATTTCGAAAACTACTTTAGATGTAAAATATTAAACCGATTTTGATTATTGATTTTGACTAAGACCGAACCGATTTAATGTGAAGTAACTTTTAGAAACCCAAGGAACAAATAGTTAAAACTAATTTATTCAATACCTAATTTTATAATTTAACCAATCCGTTTATATTCTTCAATCTTCATATAATACGGTATACTTCTAATAGATAGAGTTCAGCGTATCGCTCTTTCAAAATGACCCGCAGCTCTCATCAAACATCAAGCAAACAAAGAGAAATAAAACGAAATGCATGATATCGTTTCTCTCTTTTGCTAATGTGTTACATAATATCTATCCGGCGATATATTAATACAAAGTTCTCAAAGTGCCGCGCGCCTTATTTCTTGATTCCACGTCCTGTTCCCGCCCCGCCGCCCGGGATACGCTCCCCCCTCCCGCGAACTCGCCAGTCAGTCGTCGGCTTCAGCACCAGCGCCAGCCAGCCACAGTTCGGATTCACCAGCGATGGGCTTCGAGAAGAGAACGGTGAAGATCATGGTGATCGTCCTCGTTCTCCTATTGGTGATCGGTGAGCGAATGAAGAATCCAAAAATTGAATCGAATTTCGAATTTGTTTTTGTTTTCTTTAGTTTTTTGGAACTTACGTCATGTGACACGTCCCTTTTTTCTGAACTTACACACGTCGCTATTTAACTTTTTTATTGAAAAAATTGTCATAAGTGTTCTATACATTTATGACTATTTTTTTAATAAGTCTTGTTCTCTATATTTTTATAAAAGAAAATTGAACATGAACTATAAAAGAAATAGTGCTTACCGTTCGATCAAACAATTACTTGAATTTGCTTGATATTAAATAAGTAATCACGTGATTTTTTTTTCTAACTATTTTGAAAACTGAATATTCCGTAAGTAGCGCGTCTATCATCCTCCAACCACCCACCTTTACCTGCGTACAAAAATAATCACCATATTTCTTAATCACAGAGTTATTTACGTTTTCTTAACGAAACTCCCTTTTTGTACTTTCTTTGACAGCACTTTTAGTATGTGTACTGTAATTCTAAAAGAGATATTTATTTATTGTTAAAAGTCTTATCAACATTATTAAAATATGCATGACAATGTCTACTATTTTTGTTTTCAAAACTGTGACTAAAATAAAATTTACCTATAGATAAAAGTTTTTCGCTATAACTTTTGCTGCGCTTATGTCACTCGCAATGTACAAATAAAGTTTCACTCGAGATTAGGTCCAATCCAGAATGTTTTAATTTGTGTATTCATAGTTCCACCAAAAAAAAAATAGTCATTTATCTCGTTTATTATGTATTTGGAGTTATTCAGTAATGAGTGAACTACTTCATTACACTATATTAGACCTTTTGTTAAATTTTTCTTGTTCTCAAATCTTCCGACGGTTTGTAAAATGTCTTTAATCATGGCGTTGATTCAGAATTTTCATTTAGTGCCATATTAATGTTATTGATATTAGCTTGGACTCCGGACATATATTAAAGAATTCCTCAAAATCAAATAGAAAACATATACTTTAAGTTGGTTGTGCTTTTTTTTATCATAAAAGTTTTTTTTTCGTATTCGCCACAACAAGACAGGATTATTTAATGTCTGGTATATTCGTTTGTTGAAGATGATGTTTGTTAATTGATAATTGTTTCCCAAGGAGGGTTGACGTCAGGCAGAAGGCCGGTCGTAAAAAACATAGTCAAAACACTTACAACATAAATAACATATTGTGCCGACCCCATCTAGGTCAGAAGGATGATGATGATGATTCGTCTGATGACATCTCGTTACGTTGTTGGATTCTTACGTGTGTATATCGTGTTGTGAGTTTCATTTAATAAATTGAATAGAATTCTCAGTCTATGTCCATGTGAAGATTCGCGTAAAAAAAGCTTCTTATTGACATGTTGCTTTCTTTTACAATGGAGATATGAATTTAAGAACTTTTTTTTCGGCAAGTATCCGGGGAATTTGAGTGAAAGTAAGACGAGTAGGCTAATATAAAAAAAAAGTAGACTGTACATGGAAAAATATACAATTTTTTTTCTTTTATGTGAAATGTTGCCAAACGAGCAGACGGTTCACTTGATGTTAAGTGAATACCGCCGCCCATGGACATCTGCTACACTCGAGGGTTTGCAGATGTGTTGACAACCTTATTGGAAATTGGGCTCTGGCTACCTCACTCACCAGACGAAACGCGAAAGTATTATACTTCCACTTTACGCCGGTCTTCTGTGAGTTCGTGTTACTTACCCGGACGAGCCTGCCCATTCGTGCAACAGCCGTGGATGCTGCGTGGCCCTACCACCGTTTGAATTATAAAAGAACTTATGTTAAATGTTACACTGAAATAGACATAAACGGAACAAGCTGATACAAATTGGGCTCTAGGCCAGAATTCGCTAATCCATGGGCTAGATGTACATATTTATGTGATTAGCCAAACTTTCTTGTGATTTTTAGTTACTAGAGTACTATGTACTACTAGCATAGACTCTAAGCTATGCGTTATTTTACATTTTTCTTAATAAACACCGTGTAATTCCCAAAGTATTGTAAGTACTATAATTTTGAATTTTTACTAAATGAAAATTTTCTATTATTTTTTAAGATCAATTCTGTATATTCAATACAATTCTGCTAGACCAACGATAAATGTCTATCCCTAAACCATAGAATACTCTCTTTTGATAAACTTTTATAATGACTTTACTAGTTCCAAAGTTATCTAGAAAAATTTCTATAGAAAAGTGTTGTAAGTTACAGGAAAATAATCTTGCTTTATATCCAACTTGTCTGTGCTATAGATATTTATATGGAGTGACGACCTATGCAAGTGTGACGACCTAAACATGCAGGTGGCTCAGGATAGTGCTTCGTGTCTAGGGTTAAAAGCAAGGTTAAGATTTAATTCATCGACGCGTTTATCGCGCGGCTGCCATTGTCATATGCTCGCGTACAGTTCGCTCCGTAAGTGCATTAAACTGTGAACGTCCTGACTACCTGGTGGCGTCGAACTCAGATGACCTAGCAATCCAATAACGTCTAGGATTAGCGATGGATTTGCGTTCGCTATCGAAGCTCGGGAACATACTACTCACGATAGGAGAGAGGTGGTGGCTAAATAAGCAGTAATTCTTTCCGTCGACAAAATCTGCCGAGAAAATCAGCAGGCAATAAAAAAAATGCTGTCGAAATGATAATATAAAAGAGTTCATCATCACTATGGTTGGTTTAAAAAAAATTAAATGTAAAACCTAAATTGTTAATTTTTGTAGTTAAATGAAAAAAAAAAAAAACTTTCGGCGCTGCGGGATTCGAAGCTGCGCCTTCCGTGTAAATTAAATTTCTTTTTTTTTCAGCCGGACTAATTGGGTTGCTGCTTGGACTGCTTCTTCCACGTCGATACGTTGGTAAGAATCAAGGTGTCCTTATTACTTATATGCATGCGATGCGGTAGCAGTCATTACCTCTTTTTATTCAAGTAGTAGTAAGTAAATCTTGACAATTTATATACGAATTTACAACAAACGGAAATGAATTGAACACTCTAGGCTCTTTCAAGTTGACTTTAATATATTGTAAACATGTTTTACTGTCAAAAACGGTTGTCCTGCTGAGTTTCTTTCGCCGGTTCTTCTCAGGTCATTGGCTTTTCTTTTCCAAACCGGTAGTACTATTTTGACAATCAATAAGTAAGTGTAATGCTCCTATTTTGAATAAAGATATTTGAATTTGCCCCTTTAACCATCTAACTTGTAAATACTACATCGTATTTATACATATGTAAGTGACAAATCTATCTGCCTCTTTGGCCTTCCGAAATGTCCACAGCACTTCTTCTTACACTCAACAGAGCTGGAGGTGTGGCCGCGTTCGGATGAGTATAATCATGAGGAGCCCCTGATCCACTTCCGGGTCAACGACCCCGGCAGCTGGCACCCGTGGTACAAACGTATCTCCGACTTCCTAAGCGGTGAGAAGCCCTGTCGTGTCACGAGATTTTGTTTAATGTATCAAATTAATGAGACCCAGTTGTTTGAGCCACTTCATGGTTCTTCCCCTAAATGTACATTATTGCTAACAAGCTTATGTTGTCGCTCTGTAAAAGGGACGGATGTAAACCATGTGACGGGATATCTGTCAGATTAAATAGGATTGTATGTCGGAACTGGTCGAGGCCGATTTAGTATTTGTTTTCGTAAATCTTTACTTTGTTAGACATTATTTTTAATCTGACACTAACAGGCAGATCAGTGTTTTCATTTATTTGTGTTTTCTTTCCTTCGAATAATTAGATAAATGTTAAATATGTGGAGAGTCTTTCACGTCGTTATTTGCAGGTGTTAGAGTTATATATTGATTAATATCACTATAAATTATGATGGGTGATTTAGAACCTAGACATGCCTATTATATATAAGTCGACAAACTGGTAGATTATTTTGTATATTATAGATTTCAATATTACAATCTAGATGTTCGATCTACTAGTAAATACACCTTCATACGCTTACGTGAAACTTTCTAAAAATAAAACAAAAGAAGTAACTCAACGGTCGTGGCATTTGATATTTACAATTGTTTATGATTGCATTATCATCGATAACGGTAGAGAGAGTGCTCCTTCAGAGTGCTACACCCGAGGGTTACAGATGCGTTGACAACCTTTTGAAAATTGGACACCGGATACCGCACTCACCAGACGAAACGTGAAAGTATTTGTCATAATTCCACTTTACGCCGGTCTTCTGTGAGGTCGCGGTACTTACCCGGACGAGCCTGCCCATTCGTGCAACAGCCATGGCTGCTGCGTGGCCATCGTCTCATCATCATCATCCATTATGACCCCTAAAACACGTGCCTCATACGAGATTCTTTGCCCGCAACAGACTATGAGACCAACGTGCCAGAGGATCCGCCAAGAGCCCCCTGCTCGGTGCAACGTCACGAGCAGCGCGTCCCCAACCCGAACTGCGAGCGCGCCCTCAGCGTGTGGGCGCCGTGCATCGCTGACAACTTCTATGGGTACCGCGACGGGACACCTTGCGTGTTCCTGAGGCTGTCGCACGTTAGTAACGCCGTCTGCGAACAGATAGCGTCGGCATTCCCCAGTAATATTTGTATAGTACATGTATACACGACAAGCATATCTATCACACGCTTGTCGCGCATAGCAACTTCTTCGCGCATCTTTAGTTACCATAAAGTTCTAGTCAAACGTCGCCCAGTCAGATAATAGCTACCGATCGAGCCGAGGTCCGGTTCTCTCGGGCACCCTCGAATCGGAATGCTAAACGCGTGTTGAGTGACTGCCCAAGCCGAGGTCCCCTCTCGGGGACCCTTGAGCCTGATCACTCCATGGAGCGGCCAAAAGCTATGCAATAGCAAATAATTTGGACAGTTAAATGAATTACATAAATTAAACCGATATTTTTTTTCTGTTTTATTGTTGTTTAAACGCAGCACAGCCCTGTTTTTAACATATTTATAATTTGTTGTTTAGATCCACTATTGGGTTCCGGAGCCATACAATTCGTCGATGGCCCTGGCACTCCCACCTGAACTTCCGGATAATATTAAGCAAATAATGGTAGGTTGTCAGTAAACACGAAACGGTTAGTATATTTATTTTATCTGCATTAACCGATGACATTTAAAAAAAATATGGGATAAATTAATGACCAAATGGTAAAAGTGGTGTCTGCATGTTAAACTAGCCAATCGCTAGAGGTCCAGTGATCGATACTTCAGTAAGAGGAACAGTACATTCTTTCAAAATTAACTAAAATCCTATTTTACCTACGTCGGAAAGTGTCGAGTCAACTTGCACGCTGACTCGGCCACTGTTCGACGGTTTACACTACTGTACATACTCACTATATTTGTCTACTGTACTAAACACTTGACAAGTGTAAATCGGGCTTAAGTCTCACGCTCGGTTTCTGAAACTCTGATCATCGTAGAAGTCAATTAAACAGTTTAAAAATCCTTTTGCCAACTCAAATAACATTTGAAAAGCCATTTGACAGCTGATTAGTTGACATCTACGATGATCAGTGTTCCAGAAACCGGGCGTCGATCTATAAGTGTGTATGAATCAGTAGTGTATAATCTGTGGTCGACGCAGTATCAGCGTCCGGCGAGCGTGTTCGGGGACTACGTGTGGGTGTCCTGCGGCGGCGAGTTCGCCGCCGACCAGGAGAACATAGGGCCCCTGCAGTACGTGCCGGCCACGCAGCCGCCCGGCTTCCCAACGGCGCGGCTGCTCACCGCCGACCACGTGCCGCGCGCCGCCCGCTCCCGCCCCGACCCCCTCTCTGGGCCCCTGGTCGCAGTGCTCTTCGAGAACCCGCGCCGTACGTGAATAATTAGTATAAAATACGCAGTCGTGGGTTTGATCCGTTGACCGCACTAGGCCTTAACAAGATTGCCATCCCCCCCACTCGCTGTATATATAGCACGAAAAATTAAATGAAATATATAAATAGGAAAGGAAAATGGCACCTACTCATCATGGCCGCTTCATTGATTACAATTTTTACGGAATATCGCTTACGCAAAGGAGCGAGAGGCGAAAAGCCCAAAAAAAAACCCTTCAAGTTTTGTCGCCCTAGACCCGAGTCTACACTACATGGCATAGAAATCCGCCCCTACCAATACGCTCTGAAAACCTCACGCCTACACAACAATCTCAGCCCTACCATCTCACTCTTTAAATGTTCCTCACCCTGAAAATCGCGCTAGCGATAACTCGCATTAGATATCTCGGCTCAAAAACCTAGGCATTAATATTCCGCTTATTATTTCTAAGAAAAAATAAATTTTATTTTGTTTTAAAACCATTTGCGCCTGCGAAAACGCTCACGTGGGAATGAATTTATCATACTCGAATCTATGTTTAAAAATCTTTATTTTAACGTCTCCCAAACGGAGCTAGGTTGGTCATTGTGTTTTAAGTACATAATAGGGATGTAAAGATATTCTAATTGCTTTCCTACATCTCGTCATTGTGATTAAAACGTGATGTGAATAAACTGCGGTAGGGCCACGCAACAGTCTTCTTTTTCCCAAAATTTCTTGTGTTCGGGTGGAGATTTAATTTCACTTCAAAGCAACGCAGTTGGAAAAGTAACATTTTTACTTTTTATTTTGCATCCCTGTAATTTCAAATTTTCCCCAATAGGTGGCGTCTTAATCAACGTGGAATGCCGCATTTGGACACGCGACATTATTTACGACCGCTCCAGTCGTGTGGGACGAGCCCGCTTTGAACTTAAGATTGAATAAAAAAGTCATCATTTTGTTGATTTTGTGCTTTATATAACGATTCCTTATTTAGCTCTAGTCATTAACAAATTATTTTATGCATAGTTTTCAAGAACATAAACATTCATGTAAACACTATATAGGCGTATTATGTCATTTAATAAAATTTAAGGTAATAGCAGTCGTAGCAGATAAATTGTTGGTTCAAGATCGTTTTAAAGGTCTTTTAATTCATATAACTTTTACCCATATTTGCCAATGTAACTACTCTGCCAACTTCATTGGTGCTGACTAATATTAATATATTACAACAAAACGCATTCCGTAAGTACTCTAAATATTTATATTTGGATTGTTTAAAAATGTTTTACAGTACAATAAGGTATTTAAAAAAATCTTAATTCAAGCACGTTACTAGGGTTTAGAATATTAGTACGTTTAATATATTAAAATGTGTTCAACGCTTGGTTTCTGAAACACTGATCATCGTAGTAATTAACTAATAGGCTTTCAAATGTCATTTAAGTTTCCAATAGGATGGCTTCGGCGTCGTGGGTTCGATTCCCACACGGGACAACTATTTGTGTGACCCACAGATAGTTGTTTCGCATCTGGGTGTTTGTCCAAGTGAAATTTATGTTTGTAAAACGTCCTTACAACACAGGATAATGTTATCCTAAAGTAAGGGCAATGTTTAAAAAAAAATAGGATGGTTAAACTCTCTGAATCTTCTCTGAATTCTTCAGATCATCTATTCAATCATTTTGAAGATTGTGATGAATTCAGACAGTTCAAACATCCTATTGGCAACTTAAATGACATTTGAAAGCTGATTACTTAATTTCTACTTAGTTTCGGGAACCGGGCGTAAGTCTTCGTGTGGTTTCTGATTTGTGAGAACATATGTCTGTTATGATGTCTAATTAATTATTATCTATGTGTTAGCTAATAATGTACATGATTTCTTCAATTACAAATTATTGTTAAATAAATATTTAAATAAAATGTTTACTACAATTATTTCTCACAAATTGTTATGTTATATACATGGACTAGTAAAATACGTTAACTTATTAGTCCGTGATTAAATAAATTAAATTTAACTCTTTTTAACGTTTCTCCAAGAGTTTATCAAGGAACTCACTCACTAATAATAGTAAAACAAATATTAAATTTAAAACCGCAAAATCCCTCTATTTATTTTTATTATTATTTTGAATAATTAAAAGCTTATAAGCTTGAAATTGAAATAGTTTTTACATTTACTACCTACGTATTTGTAACGCTTCGTAACTAGAATAAAAGATAACGTAGTTTTTACGTTACACTTATTTTCACTCGATATTTAATTAAAGACGAGAATAGATTGCGTGGAGATAAACTTTTAGATATGGGGGAATGGGGATTCCCCTGGAGTTTTCAGTAACCAGACGTATGATGCCAAAAAAAAAAGTTTTATTTGACTGAATGAGATTCGTTTTATGCAGTACATGATGAAATATTTACAATATCGTAATGTGCAATACGGTGCAATTCAATGCTAATACGGTGATATATAAACACAGTAATACATTATTACCTTGATGGTAGCTAAAAACCATATTACAGTACATCTATAGTAATTACCGTGGTCATGGAGACACTGACATCACTGACTATATTTAAAACATACCATCGAAAAAAGGAATTCATTTCACTTTTTTTTTATTTTTTTAAATTATTTTTGATTTACGGTGGTAGGGCCACGCGGCAGCCTCGGCTGTTGCACGAATGGGCAGGCTCGTTCGGGTAAGTACCACGACCTCACAGAAGACCAGCGTAAAGTGGAAGTATGAGAAATACTTTCGCATTTCGTCTGGTGAGTGAGGTAGCCGGAGCCCAATTTTCAAAAGGTTGTCAACGCATCTGTAACCCTCGGGAGTGGCAGATGTCCATGGGTGGCGGTATTCACTTATCATCAGGTGAACCGTCTGCTCGTTTGACAACTTTTCGCATAAAAAAAAAAAAAAAAAGATTAAATTGTAAACAATTCACTTTTAAAATTTATTTCTTGACCTTGTATATACGCAACCTACACAAGTATATGTTTACTCCGTGCTGCCACATGCCATAACAATTTTATAGTATCAATATATAAGAAAGTTTGAATCCTGTAAGAAAATATTTAAAACGTGCCTAATTACTTACTATAATATATAGTGATATTTAATTCATTAATTCTATTGTGATGTAAGTTTTTGTTTGACACAAAAATTTAAGTTATACTTCTTTAGCCGCGTTATGAAAAAATGATGATAGTGAAATTTTAAGATGCGCGCGCTTCACTGTTACACAAAAGTCACACATTTGGAGCTGCCCGCTAAACCGCTTATTATAAATGCAGCATATTCTTAATCATATTCGCCCGTTACAGTTCTCAATAAAGAATGTAGAAGGCGTTTTCATAATTTTATTATTTTTATCCTTTTCCAGTTTTTTTAATTATTTTATTGTTATTAATTCATTGCATGCAATTAAAAACTATTTTAGTGATGACACAGAAGTATAACTTTTCACGCGCGTATATAAGTACACGCACCCATTATCTTTTTTAATTTCTTTTATTATCATAGATACGCTACAATTAACGTTTATTTCATTTATAACGTATTTGTAGTATCAATACGTAAGGTATCTTTCTTTTAAATTTTATAGTTATGACATCGTGTAAGAACATTTTTCTTTAAAACTTGCATATTATTGTTATACATACTTAGATGTAATATAATATTTCAAAATAAATGTTTTGAATTTGGAGGACGAGTTCCTTCTGGACACGCTTTAAGTGTCAGCCTACCTTACCTAGATAATATAGAAGATTCTCTTCGAGGAGGGGCAGCCAGCGTTGGTATGATCAATGTAATCCCACAGCCTACTGATATGGGTCTTAGGATGGGGTTTTATTTAGTACGAGGATGACGTATCTCACTTTTGTCTCCACGAACGCCACGCTTATACGTACGCAATCGCCTCACGTAAATTAAAAAAGAAATATTCCAATATTCCTATTGAATTATAGACAGTTTATAAATAAAATACATTTACTTTGAAATAAGATTTTAAGAATGGCTAAATGGAAATTTATTATTTTCAATTAATAGTGAACTGTAGATTATTTCGACAGTATGGGAAATCGTTTAAAATTATTAAAAAAGTCACTAGTGTTGGGATTTGTATTTTGTAAGGAGTAGCAACACCGGTCAGCTGTCTACTGTCGAGCAATGAATTGATGAACAAAATTGACATTTCTCATTCTGCCGAAAGCATCGGATTATAACAAGTTTTATGTTTGCTGTTCACATCTGAGATTGTCCTTTAATATTCATCGCCTGACGTTTTATATCCTTTAATATTGTCTGCAAAAATGGCTATCCTTAAATTTTGTACGTTCTTAGCGGTTATGTGCTGTTCTATAGTAATAGGTGAGTACCTTTTGAGATGTCGTGTTGCAAGTTCTTTGTTACTTTTATCGCGTTACGTAGACCGTGCCGTTTGGATGTTTTTGCGTTGTCTGCGCAGATTGAAAGCTATTTGTGAATTAGAAGTTAATACGTCTTGATTCGTATCTACCGTCGTTTTGTATTCCAGTTTTTTTTTTTATGCGAAAAGTTGTCAAACGAGCAGACGGTTTACCTGATGTTAAGTAAATACCGCTGCCCATGGACATCTGCCACACCCGAGGGTTATAAATGCGTTGACAACCTTTTGAAAATTGGGCTCCGGCTACGTCACTCACCAGACGAAACGCGAAAGTATTTGTCATACTGTCACTTTACGCTGGTCTTCTGTGAGGTCGTGGTACTTACCCGGACGGGCCTGCCCATTCGTGCAACAGCCGAGGCTGCTGCGTGGACCTACCACCGTAAAGTTGTATAAATTTCATTATTTTGCCGCAGGTCAAGGATATATTACGACACCGGAGCCCGTAACTATTCCTATTTCAAAAGATATATGGGCTACGTTATCGTCGTCATCTAAGCCGGATTCTTCTAGTTCGCCAACCCCTGAGACGACATCTACCACTGCCACTTCCACTACCACTACTACTACTACAACTCCCCCTCCCACCACAACTCCCCCTCCCACCACGGCCCCAACTACCACAGAGCCAACAACAACGGTTACACCCTCTCCTGAGCCTAAACCCACCCCCTCACCAGGACCAGTTCCAGCCCCAACACAGGGCACATGGTACTACACTGACAAGAGCAGCAATGTTACCTGCATCCTGGTGCAGTTTGCCGCCCAGCTGAATGTGACATATCCCTCCAATTACAGTAAGTTTGTCATTTTTATCTAAACTGATTCTAGACCATTCATTATTAAAATGAAAAAAAAAAAAAAAAATAAAAGGTGTTGCTAATGTCCATGTGCAGTGATTATAACTTAACATCAGGTGAACCGCTTGCCACCTTCTCACATAAAAAAAATGTTATGTAAACTGTAGTGCATTTTGCAAGAAGGAAAAGGAAAAAAGTTAGGCATAGTCTTGTCGGAAAATAGGATGTCTGATGCAGGTGTAGTAGTAGTCTTGCAAATATTAAATAACTTTTAACACATTAAATTATTGTGAAAGTTGAACCAGCAGCACTTTGTCTGTTTTTAAACAACTTACCAAAAGGAGTTTCGTGGAGTTTCTTCATTTGGTTTTTTATGTTTGTTTTCATCAGAATCCTGTCATTTATAAAAGGATTGCAAGTTTTGTTTTGTTTTATGGGGGTCCCATTTTAATTTTATTCAACTCAGGGTTGTAAAGATAACCCAGGGAGCTTCTGAAGTGTATGTAATAAAAATGTTATAATTATATTTTTTTCATGATGTTTATCAAATTAACACCAACCACATTTAGTTTCATTTAATTTATTGATAAATCTAATAGTATCAACTCCAAATAAATTGCTGCAATCACTTTCTTTTATTGGGAAATTACCCACAGCACAATGGCTGACCTTGAAGCTTTAACCCATTTTTTAGAACTTGCTTACAATAGAATGATTGCAACAATATGAAATTTCAAACAATACTTTACCTGCTTCTTTTACTTTGTTACATTGAAGTTTATTTAACGCATAAAACTATAATCAAAAAGTATTAAGGAAGCATTTATTTGAGTAATAACAGTTACAATGTTTAATGAAAATTTTGACTGCAAGTGGTTAGCAAATATATTTTACATTATCTCAAATTTGGTTCTGCTTTTTCAAATATGAGAGGAATCAAGGATTGTGAAAACTATTTTTAAAATATTTGAAATATAACACAATCAAACCTGAGAGAAGAAAAAACTTGCTTACATTATTTCCTTTTTCTTATGTCTAAGGAAAAAATATTTTCAATGCAAGTTTAGTAGTAATAATAAGTTTTATAACTGAGATAGAAAGTTTTTGATTGCTTTTGAACATTGCTTTAGTTAAATTAAAATAATTCCTAATGTCAGTTCTTTCTACAATTTCCTTATAATGTTAATAAAAATATGTACGAGGTTAATGCTCACATTAAGTGGATTGACAAGGCTTCATTCTACTCGTATAACCTAATTACTATTACAGACAATCACATAGTCTGGCATTTACAACTTTCCTTACCTAGCGTTTCTAATCCTCAGCATTATGTATTTTTTAGCTAAATAACCATTATTTCTATGTTATATTTTTCGTATTTTTTTTAAGATATTGGACATCATAAATACCTTTGCTGCTATTTAATCTTTTTTTATGTAGTTTTATTGTTTTTAGGGTTTTTATTGACCACTTACATGTTGGTCCTATTATGTTTAGCAAAATATTCCCTTCATTATCTTCCTTTTCACAGTATTGCTAATTACATTGTTTCTCATTTTTTAGATTGATTGACTTTTTAACTGTTCTGTTTACAAATGCTTATAAAATCTCCTTCACATTAAAAACAAGGTGAAAAAAAAAAAAAAAGACTGGAAAGTAAAAAATATAAATAGGTATATCAGTATTTATGTTTCCATCAACTGGGGCCACATAATGAGCTCCCAATAGCGCTGGCCTCTTTATTCAAACTAATAGAACTTATATATTATTTTTAGGGTTCCATACCCAAAGGGTAAAATGGGACATTATTACTAAGACTCCGCTCTCTATCTGTCGCCAGGCTGTATCTCATGACTTGTGATATGACAGTTGAAATTTTCGCTGAAGATGTATTTCTGTTGCCACTAAAAAACAGAATAAAAAAGTATTTTAGTGGGGCTCCCATATAACAGACGTGATTTTCTTGCCATTTTTTTTAGGTATGGTATGGTACCCTTTGTGCACCAGTCTGACATGTACTTGGCTGGTTGTACTATACTGTAATTATGTACCTGTGACACTAAACATTACCATACACACTGTGCTATTTTAATTTTCCAATTATATCGTAATAATTGCTTTTTTTACAAGTGATGATAGAAACATTAATTTCTATATTTAGAAAAGAGGCCAGGGATTAACCAATTAGTGTTATTCCAAAACTTTTATCAGTAATTGAAATCTGCTCTGCCACAATATTTTTTTTAAATACCGATTTGTCTCTTCACATGGTTGATCAGATGTTTTTAGGGAGCCGGTTATAAGGAGGCAACATATTGAACATGTGTTGCAAATGTCAATAGTCTGCGGTTATTACTTAATATAAAGGCCCATTTACACAATGCCATTTTCTTGAACATACAAGAGCAATAATTGAATGCAATAAATTGCGCGCAATAATTGTTTAGATCATTTCTTGTTTAGACCATGCAACTCATTTATTGCTTCAATTTAATTGTATACAACAGGCAAGAAACTGGCACCATGTAAATGGGCCTTAAGGCACCTCTAACTCGCTTGCCACCTTATGACATAGAAAAAAACTAATTTCCACCCTTTTATTTTACAATTATTTCAAAGAACATAGTTTTGGGGATCCAAAGCGACATAGATTGACGTCCTTCACCAGTTTTTAAATTTTAGTGACGTTGTTCCACTCCGTGTTTTATTGACGTCAGAACGTAAAGAAAAATGCTATTTAGATATTTTTGTTTGCAGAAAAGTAATGCAGGTTTGCCCAACCACATTCTGATAATGCTGTATGATTTGTTTTTGCAATTTTTTTTTTGATACTGTTTACTCCGCGGGTGATACCGCATTTAATTTGTATTGCTGTTGCACTTTGTGTGCTTTCTCGCTCAACTTACTGGAATGATTGACATGTTAGTCAATAGTAATAGCTCTGTAAAATTTTACTGTGGTCCTAGCACATGAACGGGAGATTGTCCGTCGCAGAAGTACTGTACAGATGACCAGGGTGGCAATCATGGTGCGGTAACTTCAGGGGAACAGCTTGGCCGTTTGGCAACTTTTCACCTAAGAAAATTAGTTGATAGTTTTATTATTTAATTTATATTTTATTCAAAACTGCGCTTTTACCACGCGAATTATATACAGCGTGTCGTTACCACCGCGACAATAAATGAACACACATATAGAGGATAACTTTTTAAAATTGTTTTAAACATATACATTCTTTAAACATCAATATTTACAGAGTTATTAAATTTTCCGAAACAAAGAATTTTAGAACACCCTTACGTATAAAACTGTAACGTAAAGTTCATTTGTAAAGGTCACAAAGCATATGAATGGGCTGAATGAATTTAAAAGAGACAAAACATACTGTTAGAAGGAGAGGCTTGTAATGCGACGCTGTGGTGCGAGTTGTATAGGTTGTTAAAAATTTTGTTTCTTTTTTACTTAATTAGTTTGTTTGAAAAATATATTTTTTTTAATTATGGATTTTGTTTAAGGTTAATATTTTTTTATGATTATTGGCAAGTAGCGTTAGACTTGTGTTCATTTATTGTCGCGATGGTAACGACACGCTGTATAATTTAAATTTGGGAGCCTTTTATTTCGAGAGCAGGAAAAGTGAAGGCCACAATATTGCAATTTATTTGCAACGAAAGCAATTAGTCGCTTTTTGACCGTGAACGATGCGAGTATTTAATATGTAGCAGATAACTTACTGTGCTGGCTGCGACAGTTTAAACTATATTGGGACTCAGAACTGGTTTCATTTGGTATCGTTACGAGGCTGCGACTTGTTTACGCTTAATTTGTGCTAATCGCGTATCTTAGCTCGATTTTGTTGTTTCGACGGGGGGGTGGCCTGTCACTGAGTTCGCGATTGGCGCCTATGATAGTCGCATGTTCTGTTTAATCCTTCGGAATGAATTTAATTTGACTAGTGCTTACCCGCGACTGTGCCTAACTAATTACGAGATGGGTCACCGAAGACCTGTCTATAAATACTTGTCTATGGCAATAAGCGTTTGCAATTTTTCCTACCTTTAAAAAACATTTCGTTCTTTTGAGTTTAGTCGAATATTACGCACCGGTAATAACTCTGTCTGTCTCTGCACTAAAACAGCGTAAACTGTCTCGAATAGTACTAAATATTTTTATTTATTATAGAGTAAGTGAAGAAGGAGACATAAGAACTATGCAAACAAACGTTATGCCTATTATTCTTTAAGAGGTGAATAAAATATTTGTGTCACAATATGGACAGCACGTCGATGTTCACAAAAACATCTTTTATTATAACCATGCATTTCGTTGCATGGCGAGAGCCCTGTAACATTTGGGTCTGAAACGACTCTGTTAAATGTGTCTATCTCTTTCTAAACTGCCATTTATTGTTAGTTAGTAAATACATGTCATGTATATATTGACACGTTCCATTTGTCTGTTGTGTTCATCGGGCACATAGCGTGGCACATAGTGGAAAAGTATAGCCTCTATTAGGACTGGTCTCTATTCTAACTTCGACTAATTTGAATTCACTTTACTTATAGTACCTGGAGGAGTACGGTTTTTTCGTAAATCGTGTATTTTGGATATAAAAAAAATAAAGAAAATGATCTGGTATAGAAAAAAAAGTAAAAAAAATAGGTGTGTAAATGATCGTGATACGAACCGCAGCCGTCTGTTTTGGGGCCGCTCGATTACCGGCCGAGCTATTATAAAATTTTTTTTTGCTGCGTAACCGTCATATTCGGAATGATATTTTTCATTCCCTGGTAACAGGGATAAAAGGAAATTTTCTAAAAATGAAACCTAGCTAGATCGATTTTTCGCCCCCGAATCTACGGACATACTAAATTTCATGAAAATGGCTGGAGCCGTTTCCGAGATTACGATTATATATATATATATATATATATATATATATATATACAAGAATTGCTCGTTTAAAGGATAAGATTATCCTTCCTCTATGCTCGTCT